CTGAAAGAAAAGAGGGAAAAGCTCCTACAAAGCAGCCTCTGTGTGCAGCAGCTGGGACTGAGCAAGCCTGGCTTGTGCCAGTCTAGAACTGCTGCAGCTCTGCATTTTAAGTGTAGTAAGAGCTGTCTGGCTTGTACTACATTTAAAATGCAGAGCTTCAGCAGTCCTGGCTCGCGCCAGGTACAGGATCTTCTTCTATTGCGCCTCTGCAGGTTCACTGTAATAGGAGCTGGGCTGCTTGCGTACCAGCTCCAACTACATTTAAATTACAGAGCTCCAATGGGGTAGCTCCTGGATTGGCATGAGACAGAACAGAGCTCCTTCCCTTTATCAACCAATCCTGTAGTCAATACAGAGTGTATCAACTACACAATTAGTTGATGTTATCCACCTCTTAACATCCTTAACATGGACCATGTTTGATATTGCAATACCTGAATCTTTCTTCCAAAATAATATATGGAATTGTTTCTTCTATAAATCTGTAAAAGGATAAACTAAATATAACTCAACAATTTATTTAGGAAATATAATTATTTACTACCTTTATATTAGTTAGTATCCAAGTTACATTGGAATATACTGGGCAACTAGTATAACAAATCTGGGTGTAGCCCTTTTGTATTCAATACCAGTTAATTACTTTAATAGCAAAATGTTGTCTTGTTAGTTGTGAGGAATGGAATTGTGGCGCAAAGACAGACTCCTGGAACATTTAGAAAAAATCTTATCATAAATTGAAGTTGTAAAATTATTCAGCCTAATAAAAATATTGAAGATTAGGCCTGAACTACAACAGCTGAATCTATATCTAAAATTCTTGCTTGAATATGCAGATCTGGGCTAATGGGATTGCCAGAAGCTGGGAATGGATGACAGGGATGATCACTTGATGACTACCTGTTTATGTTCATTGCCTCTAAAGCACCTAGCATTGATAGCTGTTTGGAAGTTTGATCTGATCTACTATGGCTGTTCTTATGACTGCGTTACATATAATGTACATATTAGTCTTATACAAACTAAGGATTGAGAACAGATATATACCAGGTTATTGAACTACAGATGGACCACAACATATGTTTCTTATGTTCCTAGTATTAAAAAAGGTTATGGAGCCAATAGCCTCAACAAATTTGGAAAAATTGATAGCTATATCCACCTGTTCCATTTAATCTGATTTGCACAAATATGCAAGTATCTCCTGTTAACATATTAGTTTTGCTTTGGAGAATCTGAAATGAAACATGAGCAAACTGATCTCTCTAACATTTGTGTTACTTTTATGTCTTGTTAGCGTTCTATCAGTTTCCGTAGTGACAGTCGCCCTGATCTGTTCACTCCACGACAGTGGTCTCGAAATGTGCCCCCGGCTAGCACAAAACGAAGGGACAGTAAGCTGTGGAGTGAGACCTTTGATGTTTGTGTCAATCAGATGCTTACATCCAAAGAAATCAAGCGTCAAGAGGTACTAGTATTTCTAATTTTCTCAACTTCAAATTACAGTTTTGTCTAGAGTAGTGATTCTCAAACACTTTACTAAGGCAATCCGCCAACTACATTTTGTCTTTTTGCAGCCCATTACAAATATGTGCCTTCTGTCACTGTAACCCAACCCTAATCCCTGTGGCCTGGTGTGGAGGCCTATGTAGAGTTGGAGAATGAGCCCAGTCCACACTTGCCTACAGTGGTGACCCCTTTCCTGCAGAGCTGGGCAGAGATCCCCACTTTGGAAACTGGTTGTTGGCACACGATATTGCAAATGCCATTCAGGTTTGGCCTGGCTGCCTCTCAATCTTGGAGTACTGCGCAACACTGCAATTCTACACATCCAAGACCCACCCCAGTAAGATGTGAGCCAATACTCAAACACCTCTCCCTCCGGGACCTTAGTTCCCCCAAAGGTGCATGGCTGTGCACAAAAAATTCTCCATCTGCCCACCTCCTTTAGCAGCACTCACCTTCCCGCCATTTGGTGGGAGGGGATGGATTGGGGCCTGCTCTGGCAACTGAAGCCGGGACCTGCTGCATGGTGGGGGGATGCTGGGACTGCTCAGAGGGCTGGGACTGGCTGGGGGGGCGCTGCTTGGGCCAGGCCCGTCAGAGGCCTGCTTGGAAGGAAGCGGGAGTTGCATGGTGAAGAGCTGGTGTTGTGTTCAGGGCTGCAAAGTGGCTTCCCGATTGCCATGCAGCCAGCCCAGGAAGCTGGAGCTGGACTGCTGTGTGGCTGCTCCTGGGGCTTGGGGCCTCCTGCACCTCTCTTTTTCTCCCCCCTCCCCGCCCCTTATAGCCCCCTGCCCTCCAACCCTCTGTGTGCCCACCTGCTCCCTACATGTCACTGCCCACCTCCAACACCTCACTCCCTGCAAACCTTAGGCACTGGCAACAACTTCCCTCTTCCCCAGGAGGGGACTCTCAGGCCAGCCCTGTGAGGAGCAGCTTTGGACAGCCCCTACTCTGCACACAGGATGCCCATGGAGCAGTGCTCCTTGGGACAGGGGGCACGTCGGAAATTCTCCCCACAAGGTGGTGGGGGTGCTACACTCCCATCCGAACAAGCTCATGTGATCTCATTGTTCGCGCACAGGACAAAACTCATTCTGCTCATGGATGGGAAAATCTTAGCGGGAACGCTGTCTGGGAGCTCCTCCGTATGTTTGTGTTCGCTAGAAAAATCTGGCCCTGGATGTGACGACCATCTAGAAACTCACTGGTGGGTTGGGACCTATCATTTGGGAAACACTGGACTAAAACATGGAATTGAGGGATGATAGTAAATTAGTAAACATTAGCTCAGTATTTGAAATTACATAGTAAAATCCTGGTTCCACTTGAGTCTGAGATTTTTTTCCATTGAGTTCAGTGGAACGGGTTTCATTATAAAGACCATTGTTGGAAACCATTCTAGATAAAGAACAAAATTGTTTGATAATTCTTATGTAGTAACATTGATATGTGAGATTAGAGTTGTTTGTGTGGGTGTGCATGTTTTGGGTGATGGAGGTTGTTTTATTTGTGCTACCATCGTGGCCACAGTCAGAATGATGTACATGCTAAGTACTGCGTGCACACAGGAAGGCAATGAGCTTTCAGCAGAAGTTAGTCCTTGATCAAGGATCTACATTGGTCTCTTTTAGGTACAGACCCTGGCACAAAGATCTCCATTTTAGAAGGTCCACTGGTAGTGATGTAGATGATAATCTGAAGTACAGGGCGTCCCCACTATGTTGCCTGGGTATACTTCGGATTTGCACTAACGTTGTTGGTGCTTGTAGGAAGTGTTGCATGTTAAGTCCTCCCATTCCCCTCTCTTACGTTGCATGGGGGGAGGGAAGACCAATTCATGCAAACAGAAGTCAGCCACAGGGGAAAAAAATTCCATGCTTCGTCATTTTGCTATATGTCCATGTTTTTTGGAACTTATGTTGCCTGTATTGTGGAGACACCCTATAGTGTAATGCACTCAGAGCCTCCGCTGGTTGTTGCTGTCTGGCTGCAGACCATCCCAAGATGGGCATGAAGGGAAATGTTGCCAGGATTCAAGGATGTCACCTGCACCGTTTATCCTAGCTGTGCTCTTATGGCACCCTTCCCAGAAATGAAAGCTGACCTTTTCTAGTCAACAGTGTATATATAAATTTCTGTTTCTTCATTCAGGATCAAGAAGTGCAATTGTCATGTGCTCATACTGGTTAAATCAGAGCCTCAAAGGTTTGAGACTAAAAACTTCTTGCCCATTGTGCATCAATGCAAACATGATTTTCAAATTCTGGAGCCTCCTTAATTCATAGATCCATAAGGGTAGCAGGGACCATAAGGATCCTCTAATCTAACCTGCTATGATGCAGGACTTTTGTCAAAACTAAATCATCCAAGACAGATATCCAGCCACTTTTTTAAAACCTCCAGTAAAGGAGCTTCTATGACATCCCTAAGCAGTTTGTTCCTTTGTCGTACTATTCTTACAGTTAGGAAGTTTTGCCTGAGATTTAATCTAAATTTCCTGTGCTGTAATCTGAACCCATTACCTCTTGATCTCACTTGTTACAAAGGACAACTTTTCTCTATTTTTGTTACGTCAGCTTTTCAAGCGTGTGAGTACCTCTGGCATGCGCTCCTCCCTCCCATCTCCTCACTTCCAAAATAAACGTACCCAGTCCCTTCAGTCTTTGCTCATATGGCTTTTATCCCATCCCTCTAATTATCACTGTTACTTGCCGCTGGATCCTTTCCAGTTTCTTGATATTCTTTCTATGTAATTGGACACTAGATTGCTGCTGTGGCCTAACCAGCTCCGCGTCCTGTGCCTTGCATGTTATGCCTCTCTTAATGCACCCAAAATTGCATTTTTTTTGTAACAGCATCACATTGACTCATCTTGAGGTTGTGATCCACCATCGCTCCTAGATTCTTATCAACAGTGTGGCTACCAATCCAGGTATTCTTCCCTCCCCCCCCCCAAATTCTGTATATTGGCATTTTTTTTTAAGCTAGCACCTTACACTTCTTTGCTAAATTTCACTTTTGTGGTCTACAGCCAAGTTCTCCATTTTATCAATATCCCTTTGAATTTTTGCTCTATCCTCCAAAGTATTTGCAGCTATACCCCTTGAACACTGTTTCATCTGCATATTTGATCAATATGCCTTCTATTCCTACATCCAGCTGCCAGCCCCAGGTCCTAGTGGCAGCCACTCTTCTGCTACCCACAGTCCAGGACGTTGGCCCCAGCTACCAGCTGGGGGCTGTACTTCTGCCCCATACCAAGGCTCCGCAACCACCACTCCTGATGTGGTCCTAGCCTGGGCCAGTGAAGAGTGTGGACAAGGGGGGCGCAGGAGATTTGGGCCCACCCATGATAAGTGAGTTTTGCTGTATATCTTCCAACAGATTTCAGAGAAGTTGAAATCCCCCTCATTAATACTAGCTCATGTCAGCTAATCTTGTTACCTTCTTGAAAAATGCCTCATCCATTTCCTTCTCTTAATTTGGTGGTCTATAACAGACTCCCTATCCTATCACTACTGTTCTTTTTCCCTTTTTATCTTTACCTGTATTCTGAATTCTCAGAGAAAATCTGAGATTTGAATACATGCTGCATGTTGGGGGAAAATCACTTGAAGAGTGGGCTGTCATCCCAAGGAATATCCAGAAAGTATCTAAAAAGCCTTAGAGCAGAGCTATGCATTAGAAAATTGATGGTGTTTAATGGGACTCTCACAAGTTGAAACATTGCATCTGTCTCCTCCATCCATTCATTGGTAATATGTAGGACAAGAAACTCTTTCATTGTCCGGGATACCTGACGGACAGAAGATGGTGGATGTATTTCAGCCGACGGTCAGGGCAGTGTGTATGTGCTATACACCCGAGACTTCAACTGCTGGGACCGGGGTCCCTTGCAGCGGGCAACCTGGAGGAGGTTGATGGGCGCCCAATAAGTTTACAGGGAGAGCTTATAACATCTTAGATTTCAGCTGCTAGAATTCGTAATTCCTTCGCAGCGGGCAGCCTTAGGGAAAGTCTGAGAAGTGCCCCAATGGATCTGCCACCGGGGAGTGACACAATCCAAACGCCCAAGCTCTCCCTATACCTGTCCCTTTGACCGGCTGAAGTTCTTTTGTTTGTGTTCGGTTCGGGTACAGCAGCACGGGTTCAAGTCAGAAGCTTGACACTCACTGGCTTATTATAGAAGAAAGAAAGAGAAAATAAAATAAAAGAAACTTGGTTCAATATATATATATTTTATAAGTGAATGAGGGCATCCCACTTATTCCCAAAGTTTATAGCTAAATCACCTTACCAAAGGCAGTTTACAATAGAAATGAAGCAGTTTGCCTTAAGAAACTATAATAAAGTAACTAAACTTATAACAGAGTGACAATTAAAGTGTACACATAAAGAAACACATTGCAGGTACAATTCTCACCCCTGCGTTCCAGACTTGGCATGGCCAGCGTCTTTCAATCCCTCGGGAAGAAGTAGGGCGAGGTTGGGCATCCCATGGACCTCGGGAGACAATCAATACCTGCCAGCAGGTGTAGGTGATTGGAGCTCAAATGGGGTGGGCAACT